CTCCTCTTCTTCTTCTTCTTCTTCTTCTTTTTCCCTTAAACAAGGCTCCTCTGTGTAGCCCAGGCCGACCTTGAGTTGAGAGTTTAGCTCTCTCAGTTTCTGTAGTGCTGGATTGCCAATGCTAATTTTATATGCCCACCCCGCACCTTTGGGGTGTGATAGGGTCTGACGCCTGGCCTTGAAGTCTGTGTAGTCAAGGATAACCTTGAGCTTCTGATTCTCTTGCCTCCACCTCCAGTGTCTCCTCTTTCCAAACCTAAAGACTCCAGACAGAAAGCTTTCAGTATTTCTTTTTCTTTCTTTTTTTTTTTAAATTAGTTTTTATCTTATGTGTGTGGGTGTTTTGCTTGCAAGTATGTCAGTGTTTGTTTGGTTGTTACCCTTGAAGTCTAGAAGAGGGTATCAGATCCCTTGGATCTGAAGCTATGATATGGACATCTCTGTCATGTGGGTGCTGGGAACTGAACCCAGGTCTTCTCAAAGAAGCCAGTGCTCTTAACTGCCGAGCCAGCCCTTCCACCCACTATTTCTTAGGCCTACTTAGATTCCAGGGCTGATCATAACCCTCTGGAATCCCTTCCATTCTTCACATCAATTCTGTGTGTCCACCCCCTCCCCGCCCAATATCTAATCCAAGATCCTGCCCCTCTACTTCCCAGGACTCTCCCACGGCAGAAAGAAGTCATTGGATGAACAGATCTGTATCACTTCACTAAGGTCCTCTTCAAGCTTATCTTGTCTCTGTTCTGCATTTGACCTTCAGAGGGCGCTAAGAGCTCACACATGGCCCACTGCCAGCCACTGTGAGGTCTGGACGGAGCTTAGAACTGGAACAAGTGATCTCTGGGCCAACCACCTTTCCATCTCCTGAATATTGGGGAAATGCTGAGACTTTAGTGAAATGAGGGATACCAAGGGTGGAATTCTTGGCATGAGATGAAAACTCAGTAACCAGCATTAGTGATTCTAATACTGAGAGGCCTTGTGATCAGAAACAAAAGATCAAGGCAGAGGCTGGTGGATCTCAGTGTGTTCAAGCCACCTTGGTCTACTTAGCGAGTTCCAGGCTAGTCAGGGCTATACACAGAGACTCTGTCTCAAACGATACAAAACAAAGCAAAACCCCCAAATTCGACCACACACATAACAAAAGTTAAAAACAAACAAACAAATAAAAACAAACAAGAGCCAGGACACATTGGTGAGGCAGCCTCTGGAGAATTTAATTATTGAGCTAAATATGTGGTGGTTTGTGATTGTTCTTTCTGAATCTATTATTAATTTATTTCTTATGAGACTGGTTTCATGTAGCCCAGGCTGGCCTGGAACTCACTACGTAGCTGAGAACAACTGTGAACTGATCTTCCGTCTCCACCTCCCCAGGACTGGAAGGGCTGTCTTGTGTTACTGTGCCCTGTGTATGTGGTGCTAAGGCTGGACTCCAAGGCCCCCTACCCAGGCTCGTTGATATATTTAATGGACATTCCTAGGATATATTATTAAATTTCCTAATTGACTATTACACAGTGATGGGCTAGTATGCATGGGGTCCTTGACTCAAACCCTAGCACTACAAAGAATGATTGGTTCTAGCCAAAGAGTTTGGGGGATGTGTGTGTGTGCATGCGAGTGTGTGCACGTGCACACACGTGTATGCCAAACAACACATGTGGAGGTAGAAGGACAACTTTGGTTTGTTAGTTCTTTCCTTCCTCCATGTAGGTTCTAGGGATCAAACTCAGGCTGTGAGACTTGGCAGCAAGCTCCTTTATCCATTGAGCCATCTCATTGGCCCTGGAACCCAGTGTTTTGGGGGTTTGCTTTTATTGTTTACTTTTTTGGGTTTGGGACATACGTGTGGGTGGAAGTCAAAACACAACTTGTGGGAACTGGTTCTCTCCCTCTATCACGGGAGTCCTAGGTCTTGAACTCAGATGTCAAACTTGGCAGTAACCACCTTTATTTGTGGAGCCCTCTTGATAGCCTGAATCCAGGTTTATGCATGTGCAAAAACTGAGTATCACTATGAAAGCTCTGGCTGTCCTGGAACTTACTATATAGACCAGGCTGGCCTTGAACTCACAGAGTTCTGTCTCTGCTTCCCAAGTGCTGGGATTAAAGGTATGTGCAACCAATGCCCAACTCTTCACCTTAGTTTTTGAGGCATGAGCTCTTGGATTCAGCAAGGCTGACTGGCCAGTGAGCCTGAGGTTCTCCTTGTCTCAGCCTGCCCAATGCTGGGACTACAAGCATTACCACTACACCTGACTATTATTATTATTATTATTCATTTTTTATTGAGCTATGCATTTTTCTCCACTCCCCTCTTTTCCTCCCCCCTCTCCTTCTACCCTCTCCCGTGACCCCAAAGCTCCCAATTTACTCAGGAGATCTTGTCTTTTTCTCCTTCCTATGTAGATCCATGTATGTGTCTCTTAGGGTTCTCTTTGTTATCTAGGTTCTCTGGGGTTGGGAATTGTAGGTTGGCTTTTCTTTGCTTTATGTCTAAAAGCCACTTATAAGTGAGTTCATAGTATATTTGTCTTTCTGGGTCTGGGTATATTTGTCTTTCTGGGTCTGGGTTACCTCATTCAATATGTTTTTTTCTAGATCCATCTATTTGTCTGCAAATTTCAAGATGCCATTTTTTTTTAACCGCTGTAGTACTCTTATGTAAATGTAGCACATCTTCTTTATGCACCTGACTTTTTATGTGGGTGTTGGGATCTGAACTCAGGTCCTCACGCCTGCACAGCAAGCAATTTACTGCCTGAGCCACCTCACAGTTTCTCAGTCCTTTTTAATGTCTACTTTGAGACAGAGCTTTGCAAAGTTTAAGTTTCTCAGGCTGGCCTCGTGCTTACTATACAGCCCAGGCTGGCTTCCTGATTGTATTGCCCCCGTGTCAACCGGCTGGCATAACTGAGATTGCAGGCCTGTGCCACCATACCCTATGCTAACGTTTTCTTTATTCATTCATCTGTCAAAGAACACCTCAGTTGACATCACATACTGGCTGCCATAAATATGAAAGTAACCTGAAGAAACAGCTCAGTTGGCACAGTGTTTATAATTCGTTGCTCGAGTGCCTACCTAACATACATGAAGGCTCTGAGTTCAATGCCCAGCACTGCATAAACTGGGTGAGATGCAAGCCTGACAATTCTAGAGGCAGAGGAAAGATGACCAGACTTGGCTTCATAGTGAATCCCAGGCGAGGCTTGGCTACATGAGACCTTGGGCCCCCATCCCCAGAGAAAAAGAGAACACCAGCGAATGACTCAGGGGGTAAAGGCACTTGCTATACCAGCCTGAAAAACAGCCATCAGAAACCACATAAAAATGGAAGGAGAAGTTAGGAGATGGTGGCTCATGCCTTTAATCCCAGCACTCTGAAGGCAGAGGCAGGAGTATCTCTGTGAGTTTGAGGTCAGCCTGGTCTACAAAGTGAGTTCCAGGATAGGTTCCAAAGCTACATAGAGAAATTCTGTCTTGAAAAAAAAAACAAAAAATGCATTTTAGGATAAGGAATAAAGATAAATAGACATAGACATCGAAGTTTGGAGATCTCCTTGGCATAGCAAGTTCTCTTTGGTTGCTCATGTACCCAGTGTGAGATAGCAAAGTCATATGTTAATGCTATTTTTAGTGTTTTGAGGAACCTTCCCTCTGTTTTCCATAGAAGCCCTGCTCCTTTGCATTTTCCCCATTGGTGAGTTCCCCTTTCTCTGCATCCTCAGCAGGTCTCTTGATCTCTAATGTTTTCTCCTAAGGCCCGCTATCTGAGGAGTGATGCTTTCCGCTTGTGGTTTAGATTTGCATCTGACTACCGACAATGAGCACACTTTCATATAGTTTTTTGCCAGCTTATCTTGTGGTTTTTATTTTGTTTTATGTATTTTTAGTTTCTTTTCTTCTTTTCTTCCTGTGTAGACCAGTCTGGTCTCAGACTCAGTGATCTGTCTGCCTCTGCCTCCCAAGTGCTGGGATTAAAGGTGTGCACTATCAACACCCAGCTCTAAAAATGTTTTTCAAAAAGCTTTTTAATTCTTCATTTTGTAGGATTTCACTTGTTTTGTATGTTTCTCTCTCTCTCTTTCTCTCTCTCTCTCTGTAGTTATCTGTCTGTATG